CGTCACGCTTGAGGAATCGGCGTCTAATTCAGGTCAGGCAATAAATCAGGTGGGCAAAAGGACACCGAAAATTTTGCCCACTTCAAAAGGTTAGAAAAAATCTCTCAGTTGCTTAAATGCCGATGGAGTTTGCAGAGGGGTCACAAATATTCGTTCAGAGGTAGAAGTTCAAATTTTAGAGGCAACCTAACTCGGACACTAGGTTGAGTTGTCTCTGATCCAGATTGGTTCTGACAATCAGCCCATTTTTGGACCATTTTGTTATTTGCTTTCAAGCATGTGCACGGAGTGCAAGCACTTTCCAGTTCAAAAGCATTCGAGAAGGTTGAATTGCAAGCCGTTGATCCAAAATTATTCAAGCCACCCAGTAAGCATGTAGGTTCCCGGGCTGGCGCAAGAAAAATTAACCTCGCAGTGCTATATGCCTGTTTGTTTCTAACACAAGCGTTTGAATTAGCTACGTCAGCAAGAATGAGAAAATTAATTACTTGGTTTATAGGAAACTGTATTACTGAAGATTGTCATTATTTGAAATATACCTGTGCACTTTCACCTTATTAGGTGTACGCTGTGGATAAAACCATGAACTGACGGCTGGACGGTACAATAAATTGAGGTGTATTTTACTTAATCTGCAATGAAGTGGTGATAATAATGCAAGCTAATACAAAACAACTTAGCGCGCGATGAGTTTCAGGTGGAACTGATATTTATTAATTAGCGGAAGATGGCAAATTATGTGAGCGCTCACAGGCCTTCTACGACCCCTTCAAGCCATACTTCCAGCTATTGATCTCAGGAACCATTTCCATTTTACCTGGTCGAGAGTTTGAACATCATCGACCTATCAAGACACTTCATGATCAATGTGCAAAGTTGTTAAGCATCCCCATGTGGTTGCTACTTTAGTTCACAAGTGAGCACTTTGATCCATTTTACAGTTAAACCGCATTTTATCAGTTTATAATTTTGCTGAGTAATTGCAAAAGTTTGAATTCCATTTAAAATTCTGTCAGCCGCAACGGACTTTGCCTAAACAGTACTTAATTTGATATTATGTGTTTTCCATCATTTTCTAAAACTGTCTTTCGAATTTGTAAGTCTTTGATTTCCTTCTTTGTGGTTTCTCTTCAAAGAAAGCCGCAGGGTACTTTGACTTCTTCAAAAAACCAGTTTTTGCATTTCGAATCATTTTTAAAGGAAGAAACAGATGAAAATCGGAAGGGTCAAGATCAAGATAATATAGCGAGTGTAGGAGGATTAGCCAACAGAACCATCTACGTTAATCGGCATCTGTCGAGCGACATGTTGTCTAGCATCGTCATAGTGAAAGTTGATGTCTTTGCGACTGACTGAGCCGGATGACTTGGGCCGCATTCCTCCCCATCAGGCATTGCAGGGTCACGTTGAAGGAGCCCGTTCAAAGCCATTCTTCTGCAATTCCCACATAAGAAAATACAGCCTTCACCGCGAATTCTGATCTTTTTCTCCCATGATTCTACCCTCTGTTTCCCATTATGATGTTATGAATAAATTATTTATTATTCATGGTTATGATTTGATCCAAGCATTTCCTGTTGATTGTCGAGGTGAGAAGTGACGGTGGAAGCACAATCCGGTTTATTCCATTGTGTCAAAACTCGAGGAACCCATTCATTCAGCTTCAAACTGCATAAACCAAATGGCATTTAACTATTCAAAGAGCAGGACCGTACATAAATTAATTTGCATACACTTTTTAGGGGTTGTGTTGAATCAGGAAACGTTTAGAACTGATGGTTGATTACAAGACTGAAATCGAGACCAGTTCACAGACAAATGCTAGCTTCAGCAGTCCATGAAATTCAGACACAGACTAGTTAAATTATCAAATATTTTGATGTCCAGTAAGTCCAAATTAGGTTTACACCCACTTAAACTGCGTCCCTGGGTCACAAAAGTAAGTTGCTTTCGCAAAACAGGACACTCGGGCCTCGTGCTAGCCCGATCATAGGCTTATTCGTTTTGACTACCACATCTGCGCTGTCAGAAATAATCAAGTTTCTAAGTGCGCACAAGGTTCTTTCAGAAGCAACCTGCTGTTGAATTTCCACGTAGAAATCTCTTCACTAAATCCCCTGAGTCTTTACGACAGGCTGCAAGAAGGTTTCGAGAGTAAATAACGCTGTTTTCGTTTGATTAATAAGACAATGCAAGGAATTGATGCTCGACGGATGGAACAGCAGCAAAGATAGAACATGTGAGCCGACAATACCTGACAAGTATATTTGCATGTGCATGCAAAAAAGTCCTACACTAATTCATCATGTTCGTCCAAAAAACCAGCCATATTTGCCACAGCTCAACAAAGTTCCTTGACAAAGTGACAGCTAACCTTGCGTACACAAGCTTGTCGATGTCCATTTCCTTCGCGTATCTTCGCGTTTACAAAACCTCGTGAAATGTGCTAATTTTTAAACCCTTGATTTTCATGTCGTGCCTCAAACACCTGGTTTTCGCTTAGTGCACAAGAACTTACCCAGTACGGTTGTCGCTTTTGGAAAGAGACAAGGTTTCGCCTAATAAATCTGCGCCCCCGGAAATTATGTTCAATTTACTCTTGTGTCTCTGACAACTTTTATTCCTACCATAAATTCTTAAACTTGGCTTTTGATAAGTACTGTAAAGTTGAAGGCACTCCAGCAAAGATTTTGTCGAAATATGCAGCGGTTCTTTGAATGAACAGAAGAAATCAGCCGCTAAATTGTTTAAATAATTTATTTAACTCTTTCACGGCCACGGCAACAAAATCTGCTCTCTAATATTTGTGCTCACGGGATAATATTTGATACCAACTTTGTGTCAAAACAGCGCAATCCAGTCTGGTTGCACTAACTGGCTGCGTGATTTCGCTAATTTGTTAGATTTTCCAGATTAAATCTGGATAAAATGCAGCCATTATTTGGGGGGAAGCTCCCAGAGTATTGCTTCATATGACTGAATAACACTTGATTATCTAAGCAAATTTATTCCTAAAGTTCAGGTTTATTTTGAACCACAACTTCCCCTTATAACTTTGCCACGAAATTTACGGATTTTTTCCGAAATTCATTGGCCTTTTGTGCAACACGCTTTCAGCTTGTGTTGTTAGATTTGATCCACACGGCTAAATTACCTAAAAACATTCCCTTAATGTCAGCAGCTGTTTGGACGCTTCATGCTCCAAAAAGAGGTTTTATTGGCATAAATGGAAATCCCAAGGATCTTGGATCACATCAAAGAAAACTAAGTGCATGAAGCTCCTTCTGATTGGTTATCATTCTTAAAATATTCCAACGCATGTATTAACCAGGTTTCCATTTACGTTACCTTTTTGGCTTACATTAAATTTTTGAGTTAACCGAAACTTAAAATGTTAAGGATTGATTTGACGAAAGTTATCGGCAAGCTATTAATTATTGAATCAAAGGTGTTGGATCAGAGGTGATAACTGAGACAAGACCAAGTGACATCAAGCAGCTCGTCTTTTCAAATGGTGTAATTTTATTTATTTTGAATAATAAGGAGTTAGACAGCAGCTCCCACTTTGTAATAACCAAATGAGGAAACATAAATAAGATTCAGAAAGTGACGCTTGGAACAAGTGGAATTGAATCCTAAACCTACTTTTCTATGTGTTGCCTTTACCAAACTGAGACGCTATGACGACGCTAGCAGCAACTCGCAACCAGAATTGAGGGTGATCGCAACTGCAATAAGATATTCATCAAAATTCTCCCACTCCTAACTCGGATTACATCTTTACCGATGCCATCCAACCACGGACGCTTCTGTGTCAGCGTCGTGCAACCGAACACACGCAATTCGTGTTTTGCGCGCTGCCGTGGCGATTTCTTGCGCCTTCTGATTGGCTATCTCTTCCATTGGGGATCGATGTCCGCCTGTCTGCCCACTATAATGCGTCCTTTTTTGTCTGTCCATGGGCACGTGTGCCTGCACTCGCCTTCCACATCTCTGGACGACCCTTTAACGTGAACGTACACATACTCTCACTATTCAGACTGGAGTGACATGCGCCGTTTCAGGGCTGCGCCTGGAGATTAAAGCAAGACAAATTGGGTACGGCACATCCACAAAACAGCCCAACACGTCATCACACTGATTCGTTTCGGAGTAGCAAAGACTAATCACCAGCAAAACACACAAAGATTGCAACTGAGAAACGTACAAAGGCTTCAGAACCACACAAAGACGCCTCGGATCCCGCAAAACTCACCCCCTCCACCCTACGTAGAGGTAGAACCCAGTGCACCGCCATACATCCCTTTTTCAACTGACGAGGATCCAGAAGAAGTAAGCAAAGAGACTGGCATGCCCTCAGTGTATTTTGCCTCGGACCCAACGAACAGGGAAGGCGGGGCTGGAGGAGGAGCCGAAAATGGGGAAGGAGAGGGGGCCCAACTGCGGGTTCCCCAAATGCCCCAATTGGCCCGAGGATTCTCTCTCGTTCCTGAGAGACTGGGAGGCAAAGGAAACAACTCAAGCAGCGGCCCCGGAGGAAGTGTTTCCAAGCAGCGCCAAACCAATAAAGGCATGTTTGGGTGTGAGGCTGCTATCCGTATTCTTGCTTACTTTGCTGTACTCATAACTCTACCATTTTCTCTTGTGATGTGTCTCAAGGTAATCGCTCAGTATGAGCGAGCTGTCGTGTTCCGCCTGGGTCGGCTTGTCTCAGAGATACCTAAAGGACCAGGTCTGGTTTTTATCCTACCCTGTTTAGATAATGTAAAAACTATCGACTTGCGGACATTCACTTTCAACGTCCCCACCCAAGAAGTGCTGACCAAAGATTCGGTAACGGTTGCAGTAGACGCTGTCGTGTATTACCGGATATTTGACCCGGTCATGTCCGTTGTGAATGTAGAAGATGCTAATCGTTCAACGCGGCTCCTCGCACAGACTACGCTGCGAAATGTCTTAGGAACCGTTGATTTGTATCAGTTGCTGACAGCAAGAGAACAAATTGCCCACCTGATGCAGGACTGCTTAGACACTGCAACAGAGACATGGGGCGTCAAGGTTGAGCGTGTTGATATTAAGGATGTCCGTCTGCCCATCCAGCTTCAACGAGCGATGGCCGCTGAAGCCGAAGCAGCTCGAGAAGCAAAGGCGAAGGTTATTGCAGCCGAAGGAGAACAGCGGGCTTCAGTTGCCTTGAAGGCGGCAGCCATGGAGATCGGTGAATGTCCGATTGCACTTCAACTGCGATACCTTCAAACTCTATCAAGTATCTCCGACGAAAAAAACTCGACAATAATTTTCCCTCTGCCTATAGATCTATTGAGTCTCTTTCATCAGGCCTACTCCTCTAATGTCTCTTCAGCTGGGAACCCCCCAAGTGAGGGCACTTTGCGCAGCGAAGACCTTCCACCACCTCCCCCTCATCCTCCCCCGCCTCCCCAGAGGGCATCCGGGGTGCACCCAAAGTCCTCGGCCGAGACCCTCGATGAAGCGCTTATTTAACAGGCCTTCAGATTACCACTTATTCTGTCAATCCTGTTGTATACTTTATTGCGTATATATGCATTTGTGTATATATGTACTCACCACAGCCAAGAAGGGGGCCGCCTATGCAACTGATATCACCTTTACCCAAAAATGCTTCCTGGCTACGGACCTAGCTGTGATTCGTTGAAGTCTTTAAGTGATTCCGCGCCCTATCTCCCTGTATCCCAAACACGAACCGTACGTTCTTGCTTCAATGTTGTCATGATGCATAACATGAATGTTCTAGTTGGCACCAACCGGGCAATTATATTATCTACACGAAACATCCTTTTTGTAGGGATAGGATGGTCAAACGGGGTCTCTATACATAATTATTTGCCGCATCATAGTGAATTAGACCAAAACTTCAATGTGGGGCTCCTTCAGTAAATTAATGACTTGAACAGCTTAAGCTTATGTTCCACTTATCTCAATTTTGATTATGACTGAGAAGATGAAAAGATAAACAAAGTCACCTTGTTTTACCACATTGTGAAAACATCCGTGACAAATGACCATCTCAGCTACGTACTTTTCAAGTAGGGAAACTGTTTCTTGGACAGTTGCAGCCTGTTAGATGCCATAACAGCAGCGGTGGGTTACTTGCAATAATTCTGTAATAAAGTGGCATTTTTGCAGCCTCAATTTCGGAAACTAGACCACATTAATGCTGTAGCAGTATGTGACTGACTCAGGTTCTCGTGATACTGCGCTATTATATCAGGTTGCCAAAGTTATAACTAAGTGGTGTTTCAGTGAACATTAGGATATGTTAAAATGTATCCCACTTAGTGGTCCTAGAGGTCTATTCGTTGATGTGATTAAAAGCTGAATCAACAATGTGGACAAATATTTTGCTCCTTCATCATTTGACTCTTCTGCTGGCAGTGATTCCCAACAAATTTCATGAATTTGATCGCTGTATTGCGAAGCTTGCGAAGGGAAAAGGAATCCAAATTGTGAATAGTTAAGGTGAAACTGAGCCAACAATTATTCCTGGAGATTTTAGTCGAATACATTTGTAATGAGATATGTACACGGTGGTTTAGTTATGAAATCAAGAGAAATGGTGTAAGAGAGTTAAATGTAGAAAGAATACTGCAATTTGTTGCATTTCCCTGCTTTTTTGTCGCCAGATACTCAAGCAGAACTTCAATAGGAAAATCCATTTTACTTATGTAAATATTCCTTGTTTAAGAACTGAATAGAGACCCCAGGATTATATGATTCTGCGCCAGGTCCTAATTCCGTGATTCTGAGATATGAAAAATATAGACACAGTTGGCAAATGGGTTAAACGATTAATTGTATATTCTGAATTTGAGGTAATTTTCGACTGCTAGTTTAACTAAGCGTGTAGAATTATAAAAAGAGGAAGCTTTATGAGGACGTGTAGACGTCAATCTACACAGCCCAACCCTGCATCACCACCCTTCGTGGCAGGATTTGTTTTATGCACGTTCGAAGTCTGATTAGGCGAATTGGGTCCTCAAATTAGGTATTTGCGAAATCGCTGGTTGTTGCAGGTAATAAAAAGAAAAAGCATAATTCATTGATAAAGGCCAGTACAGCTAACAGCTAACAATGTCCGACAATTACTCTCCGCTACATGGCACTCACGAGGCGCACGTACCGGACTTTTGAAAAATTCACCAATATTTAAAAAGTTCAAAACAGCAGGTTCTTACCCTTATCTTTCTAGCCCCCTGATGCTCAAATTGTGCACAAACGGCAAGTATTTCATCATGTTTGATATTATTTAAAGGAAAAGGCCTTACAGCATTGCGGTGACGTCGATGAAGGAACAAAACCCGTGGGGAAAAACTGTAACAACCCATCAGGCCAGATCCCCATATTAATATTCTTGCTGTTATTTTTGTCATTAAAAGTGGCATTTATTTAGATTTTTGCACTAGTGTAAATTGATACATTTCTGAAAACAAGTCTTGAAATGAAATGCGAAATTCAACTGAGTTTTGATCAATTATGCTTTATATAACTGACATGCCGCTTTTGTTTAATAAAGAACACCTTTCCCACGTGCCATATGGTTTGTTTTATTTTAGGACTTAAATGTTGACTTTTTAATTCTGTTTGGAAGGTAGATTATGGTAAAACATTATGGACCATTTCATGCTTAGTTTCCAAAGCGAGATATGAGAAGTTGAGAATCAATCACTGGGCTCGTCATGCATAACTACGAAATTTATACATTTAGAAGGATCATTCCGACTAACTAATAAACAATTTATGGCCATTGTCTGATGAATTTGCGAATTTTAATCACTACGAGCGTTGATTATGTTTTTGATAATCCAAACACATCTGCTCCTATTGAAAGCATTGGAAAATTATTCTTACGCCTGAGCCACATTTCTGCTCAGTAAACCTCCTACTTGCTTTATTCCCCATCACGTGGAACGCAAATTAAGGCCCAATGTCAGGTAAAAGTCCCTTATTTAATTCGAATTAGTCCTGAAAGTGACATAATCGATTCAAAAGAGCTTCCAACTTCCAATAAATTTGGGACCTCCACTTCAAACTCAGCTGGTTTTATGGCCCTAACGTAGTCGGGCGTTCCATTTCTCGTGGGCACAAGCAGTGCCTCATAACCTCATGCGGCATTGGAAAAGAGCAATATTTTGCTGTAGTTGGGTAGTTTAACACTTGAAGGGTAAGAAGAAATTCGTGATGAATACTAATTGCCGGCAGCTGTACCATCACGTCCGACATTCGCGTTTGATGTGCAAGCAGTCTATTTTTTAGCACTGATGCCACTATTTGCTAGGGATAACATCGAGATTTATCTCGTTATAAACCTTAGTTGGAATTGATGCAATTTTGGAACGAAAAGTAATGAACTTGCCTAGAGTTACTTGCAATCATTGCCGATAGTCTGGTCTGTACTTCCGTTCATTAATGTCTTCTGAATTGATGCCCAAAAATTTTACACTTGCATCCGAATGCACGCTTGTCGATGTCACTGTCAGTTCTTCCTCTTTGGCGAAAATTCATCCTGTTGAACGAAATCTGAGTTGTGTTTCACCGAAAATTATGTCGCCAGGGTAGTGTAAATTTAGCAGAGTGGTGAGTTGTAATAATTACTATATTAGGAAAAATAAATCTGTGCAGATTTTCAAATTTTGTTCTGAGAACTGTAACTGGTTCTTACATGATGTCAGGTTTGTTAAATGGTTTTTTATTGGGTGTTTCTACGAAAGTTAACCACCTTATACTATAACTCAGCCCCTGCTGACGTTTTCGGAAAATTGAGCTTGTGCATACATTTTAATTGATCTACTTGCCCTATTTCTCAATTTTCAATTTAGCATGAACACCAAATAGTAGTATTGTAAAGTATATAAAAAGTGAAGTTTAAATGTGCTTGAACTGGCAGTAATACCATACTCAAGAAATAGTTGTGACACTGTCAAACTAGTTTTGCAAACGGCCAATTTTTTCCACCAAAACCCATTGAATAACTTTACGACATTACTATTTCATCGTATGACTATTTAGTAGCACTTTATATTCAACTGGAATTTCGACACGAAGGTAAGTTACACCATCTCGAATCGAGTGAACGTTGGACATCGTGATGCTTTGATGCAGGACAATGATAAAAGACATCCCAGACCATTGTGTAAACTTTCTTAGATTAACAAAGTCAACAGAGTCGGTAATGAGGCAACGATCACCTTACCTTCCTTATTTTACCTTAACTGAACCGTTGCCAAGCAAAACTGACAGTTTATCCTACCTTCAAAGCTAGCTTTAGAGAACTTAGAATGAGAAAGTGATTCTGCACTTCTTGACTTTACAAAAGTACCTCAAGAATAGGTTTTTTGAGTTTGCTCAGGACTAATCTGATTTTAAAGCAGTATCTTATTTTATGTGTATTCCATGGCAATGAACGGCTTTTACGTGAGGCGTGAATGCCTTGCATAAAACGTGAAAGGAATACATGAAAATGGCCCCCTGATTTCATTAGAATACCCGAACCCCGTACTTCAATGTTAGGCACATTTTGATTTGTTGCTTCTTATTTAAACTTGCAATCAAATTTGAGTTGCATTGTGAACGAGTAAAATTTGGCCGGAGTCGAAAAATAGCCATTGTTTTTCACAAGTGCGCAGAAGATTTGAATGAGACTGGAATACTTGCAAAAAATTAGATCTGAACTGTAAAATAGCGTTGACCTAATGAGACGAAGCGTATCAAATTAGAAATTCTGAACAGGATTCGTTTTAGAGCAATTGTGTTTTTTCTAGTGCCTTGCTCTTGCGGTTGCTCCCTAAATTGACATACATCTTTCCCTATATTAATTGGAAATTATATTTTGTGCAGATTGGTTTGTACCATATTGGGGAATTACGTTAGTTCTAATTCAAGTTACATGTTATGTCACGCTGCTATAAATTTGAGGAATCTCTGCTTGGTGGTCATTGCTTTTGCTGTTGTCACGACTGCCGCTTGCGTATCAATCAGCGGCTAGTGGTGAAATCAACTCAGCATGAATTGCATCTGTATTAAGTTTGCTTGAACGACAGCAACTGTTCACTAACACTGCTTGTTTCAGTTATTATTAGTTGTGTTCCATCATCCAAATAATCGAATCACGTTTTCGCGTTTTGTGTTTTTCATGGCAGGGGCACTTTTCAAGTATAAGATGAACAGATTTAACAAATTACGGTCATTTATTCACAGCTCGAAAAGTACTATATGCCATCATTAACACTCTCGATACACGATTAGCCTACCTGAAAAATGAACAGCTGTGCCCGGCGTCACGTATCTAATTGCAATATTGCAGGATTGTAAATCAGCACCTCAACACCAAGTACTTCGTTTAGCGTCAACTTGAGATAAAAATTTTGTTTTGATCTGCTCCACTTTGCTTTGATCAAGAAGCCTGCTGGAAGACTCTCTATGAAATGCTATTTTTATATACGGTATATAAATTTTTACGAATTGTCACTAACAAAATGATTTACCAGAAAAAAATATCAGTGCATTTGAATGCTAAGTACTGCCAGAGTTTCATGTGTATGAATATATTTGCTGATGTTTACGAGAATAGGAGTTCGATGTTATCACCGTTGCTTTTTATTTTAATTTCGGTTTTCTTAAAAACAACTAGGTCATATCTTAATGACCTTTAATACGTATAACATATATGGGTGACAGTAGCGTTCCATTAGCTTTTCGTTTACTTTTCGCAAAACAATATTTACTGATTAGTGACGTCCTAGCGACTTTAAGTGACCTCATAAGGTAACTTAGAGTACGTTGAAGGAAGGAAGTGGGGTTCGGGATTACAAATAAACGGGAAGTGAAAAAATTCTATTCTACGGAATAAAGATGGTGCACTCGAAAGTTAATGTAAATACATGTCATGAGCTAGAGATCGTTCCAGTAATTTTAACGTTTCTTCTTTTTGCCCACAACGCTTAGAGGCAGGGCATGCATTTGCATACATCAATTCAGCCTTATTCTTATGTCAATTGCGATTTTTTTTTCTACCATAAGTAGTAACCTCAGCGGTTGTAATGTTTCGAAACAAAAGCGTCTCGTCGCGAAGTGGATTAGATATGTTTTATCGGTTCATAACCTATAGTAAACGGAAGTGTCTTGATACCTGCTTTGATGGACAATAGATGAACCTAGTGACTGTCCATACATGGAGATATGACCTGCTGATACTCATCAAAAAATTTACCCCAATGTCTAGGACCACCATTTACTGAATCGTCCACCCAGCAAAAAATATTTGTCAAGCGTGTGAGATATGCAGAAAAGAGTTTATAGTCAGTAAATTGAGTGTTTGTTAATAAAGCCGGTAAAAAGTAAAAATGCATTGTAATGGTGGAATTTCACTCTGTGCTTTGAACCTTTTCCGTATGAATGGAATAGCCTTCATTATACACCGTAAAAATATTAATAGCTTGCGTCTAAAATATTAATACAAATATCATTGAACGGATCTGTCTTAGAATTTGATTACTTAAGTGTAAGGAAGTGTTTTTCTGTCAAAGATACATTCAACACGAAAGGAAGGGTGCTCAGACACAAATGTTTCAAGGTTACATTCACATCACAGATAAGTCTCATGACATTTTCACAGATTATGGTTTGTTGTTAAAATTAGTAAGGGAAGGGAAGTATTGTAGATTCGTGAGCCTGAAACCTATTATCTTGGTCAAGAATCAAATGTTTTGTGAGGTTAAGAGCATGTATTATTGTGCGGAACTGATTGGTGCGAGTGAATTCCTACGACTTGATCCCAGCAACAAATTGACATGTGTGAGATGTGGATTTTACGAAAACCAAAATGCACGGAATTGTGATGTAGCGGAAGGCTCAATCAAGAATCTGAAAAATCACAGAAATTTAAAATCGCTTAGAAAATCTCTAATGCGTTGCGTGAATTAAACTAGCGTTTCACATCCCTAATAATATTTCTCAATACTTTCCAATGTACGCTGCCTTAAGCCTACTAATTTGATTAAACGTCCTCCAACGTATGTGTGATCAACAATCAACTCGTAAATTGTCCGAAATAATTAAAAATTAAAAGACCAATAAAGTGCGAGGATGTTTTCAAATGAATTTAATCAGGAGCAGACTTAATGGAATTTCGGAAATTCAGAAAAAGCACGAAACGTTAATGTGCAGAATAATTTTAAATACTGCTTCATTAGACGCAGCTAACTAGTCCAAAATTTGGATCTGATATACTGTTTTTAAATCATATTTTTACGTTTTGCCCGGAAAAAAGACCGCACACTCCCTCAGGTAACCGGCACCCGAGATCCCTTATCAGACGCTATCCACTCCATCCTCCCACGCTAATGGAAGACAAGGCAGGGCCTGGCGCATAGAGCTTTTAATGCCTCTGAAAGTGTCGAGTGATATGCCTGAATGCATCTACCTATATAAGTCAAGGCTAACCTTGACCTGATGGATGAGGCGGATAAAAACAGATGGAGCTGTCAGTAGGATGCCGTGGGTGACTCACCCAATCGATTGGCGTGGTTAAGAGAATTGTGTAAACAACGGCTAAATCCTAACTCTCGATGAGCCGTCTTGGGGAATGCTGGATCCCCAGCACATATTTTATTAATAAAATGTCTGCAACGTAGCTAACTGTTCAGTAGTCAAGCAAGCAGGTCTAGTTTACAGTAGATTAAGCTGGTGTTTTTACACATCATTTGCTTGCAAAAGAACCATTTCCCTTTGCTTCGTGTACACCAATGACTGATTTTTTTCAAATAGTCGTGCTAGTAAGCAATCACGATTTTACTCAATGTAAATCTCAGTTTGTTAATGTATTAGTTTAATTAAATAATTTCGAAATTCAAGCACAGATAAGCTGTCCTGACTTTTTGACGCGTTTAAGTCACAACCATCTTGTATTTAAAGAAATGTGATTTTATGCAAGTAGGAAAATGCACTCGCGACTCAGTAAGGTGCTGTCTCCATGACAACCTACAATGTTAACCAGAAGGGAAATTCACAAATGAGATCGCATCACAAGCTACCTTCCCATTGTCTACGATTCCCCCAGCAGTAGTTAATAAAGAAACGGTCACAGTGGATACTTAAATATTACTTGGAAGCATACTTCCAGCTTCATTTATTGAATTAAATACTATAACAATTATGCAATTGTGTACTGAGGGATATGTAAACATTTACTCATTTCTTCGTTCGGTAGGATTGTGAAAAACTCCTAAGAATGATCACAAATACTGTCTTGTCCGACCTTGGTGACGCCAGTGCGTTTATTAGAAGCCTGGAGGTAATTGCCTAAATAATTCACTGAAGCAGCGTGTACAGAACGCGCAAAGTTAAAGCACGTCGCACACAGTCATGTCCTGAAAGGAGGTCAATTTCAGGGTCAGGTTGGCACAAAGTAAATGTCAGCCTCTGGAAGGAGGTGGCACCGAAATAGGGTTTTTAAGGCACATAATCAACGTAGGAACAAAGTGTCCACATATTTCGAGGCGTGAACATTGATTTATAGCTAAAACTTTTAGAAACAACAAAAAAGTCACTTGGACGAGGGTTAAATCGTTTCAGTGACCAACATTCTAATCTGACATATCTTCAAGACAATTCACGAACGTAACCTTGAGCGAACAAATCCTATTTTTTGTTACTTGATCTCCATATAAGGTTTCACTCTCTGACCTTAATCCATTGATTTTCTACTCTCTATATTGTTAGTCCACGTTGATTCTAAACCCTGCCACAAAATAACACATTAAAGTGCGTCGACATTGTCTGGTTGTCTTGTAGTGAATCGTGTTGATTTACGTTCATGCGCTTTGTCGCGGCATGCCCCAACTCGCTGCACCCGTTCACGGCGTGCCCGTCAGCCATGTGGGACCGCCTGCTCATTTACCCCTCTGCATATGCCGCCACTACCCGTTTTATCCATCTGACCATTCAGACGTCTGTATTTCTATTGGTTCCTTACTCTACAAAAGGCGATCACTCAACTGAGACGGTGTATCAACAACTGAGACAGCAACGGTAATAGCTTCCTATTACCTAAATTACTTTGGTGGCGGCACCCACCTGGCCTATAAATTGCCTTTTACGCCTCGATTCTCAAATGTTGCCTGGGACGTCTTAGGAATATCACCTCTCCACTTGTAGAGTTTACCCAAGTGCAACTTTGATTCTAATCGGGATGAACAGGACTACTATATGACGACTTAGTGCTACCTTGCCTTCCTGCGATTTTTGCTTCAAATTTTCCAGCAGATAAGTGAACCACTCTCCCTCATGCCGGACTTCTTATTCCCTACGGTGATTCGCCAGTGAATACGAATGATCGGAACCTTGTCCGAACAGGTTTACCGCCAGTTGATTGGCATATTTGACGCAGCCGCACACTATAAATACGCTAAGGCACGTGCGCGAAATGAGGCCTCGTGCCAAGGGGAAGGAAAACCCATCGTGTCCACCTAGTCCTGTCGCATCACTACAACATTCTCTGTCCTCGTGTCTCTTTGACTGTTGAAAAATGCAGCGTAGTCTGTTCACCGCCGCACAATTACAAAAATTACTATCCACCTTTGTTGGGTAGATCAGTGGTCTATGTTTTCTGCTGTCATAGCAAAAAGTCTTGCCTACAATCCATCTCTAATAAGACCGTCACTCAAAAGTTGCAACAGAACACCTGTCGGAATCGCCCCGGCTCTCTTTTCACGCCCGCTTCACAATAGTGACATCGACTCCCTCCTTGGATTCTAGGTCCATAGGATTCAACTAAAACCTCATTGTTTGATGGAATTAGATCTTTTTGCAATATTGAAGAAATTTTGGGCTATCAAATATGTGGAGTGAAATTATAAATGGTCAAAACTTTCCACGAATGATTTTAGACTTGAAGTTTGTTAAAATATTCCATTATAAAACCGAAAATATTGCGCATTTATTCGCTTTTGATTTAAAAGCTACGCACTAAGTACTACCAGCCTATCATTCCACTTTGTTTATATAAATAAAACATTGTCGCGATTATTAAAATATTAAATGGCATAAAATTTAATCGATGGCAAGTTTTTGCACCTTCTTAGTCACGTGATCCGAGCAAACCTTTAATACTTGCTCTACGGCTTCTCAGGTGCTAGCAAGAAGTTTCTTTGGCTAAATGCCCACTTTGTTGAACGAGCCAGCAAACAATATTCAATCATTTTAGTAACATGTTTATTAAGGGAACGAAGTCGATTTATCACAACAAGGTGTCAATCACAAAGAATCATAAAGTTTATATTAAGGTTAATCAAATGGAAAAAGAATTTACAAAATTGAGGGACGATTCGATTGGGTAAAAAACGATGTCCAATAACGAGTCCAAGTTATTTGCCTCCACAAAGTTCTGTAAATCGAGCTAATGAATGACGGTTGAACAGATGGGCAATGTCGTAATTAATGACCATTTTGTGGGACAGTTCGCTTGTCCTGTCTGCGCGAATAAGAGGACCGAGGGCTTTATTCTCTCCTCTGTGGCACAGAGTTGTGTTCCCAAGACGCATCGAAGCAAGTCCAGCTCCCCCTGTCAGACGGCTCCATTCGTGAGGTTTAATGAAAGATGGTCGATTGACTATGCGAATGATACTCGAAATTTCTGCCCTAGAAGGCAAGGTAACATAGCTCATAAGTTCGACTACGAAAATCTAAACAACAATAAAAGGCTACCAGTCAGCAGGTGTGCCAGACTGATATTTAACCAAAAGGCCGATAATGTAAATGATAGATATCTTGACAAGTTGAGTGCAAAAGCAATCTAATAGCAGTTCGTTTGTTTTCATTTTGGGGCATGCATTGTTACTGCTGCTTGTGTGAAACCATTCTGATAAACAATTGGTAAAGCTCCAGCAACTAGGACGATGGGCCATATTCATTTTACCCCTTAGGGTAAGTCGCAGCGGCAACAATGTGCTCTTTTATTCCATTTAGTTAAAGGTGCTGTGACATGTTTCTCATGGGGACTAGAAATTTGCTGGGACACCAAAATGACAAAATGAAAGATCAACTAGTTGTTGGAAACGACAGATGGGACAAAGACGCATCCATTCAGTCACCTACTGTACGAAGTTGCATCGAGGAGTCATGCGTGGTTAAATTATAAACAAAGGCACGGAGCGTTACTGTCCCTGGGCAAACGTCACTAATTTTAAGCAAGTTCAGAGAACATTAGGCTCAAGTCGGATAACCAACCGATTCACTCACTGCCAAAGAAAGCTGTCTATGAACATACATTGTACGAGCAGAGAAATTAAATTAATGTTTTGACAATAGTTCATTCTTTTTTCACTAAATGCTCCTAAATTTATGATGTTTCGTTGAAAAAGGGAAATTGCTAATTAATATGAGATCTCGTCTTATAACCTAACAGCTTGTGGCAAATTATTGCTTTGTTTTACTGAGAAGATAACTATGATTACTTGCCACATTACCAACATGTCTGTATTCTAAATTGATTCCTAACAAAAATGGATTCACTGCAATTAGCTCTCTTGGCAAACAATGATTGTAGACGACAAATTCTTATGTCAACATTGGTGTGTATGCAAGCCAACAGAAATCGGTTCTACAGCTGATAAGCGGTCCTACATCGAGCATCATCACGGACTCCTGAACAACTTTACTAAACTATCATGCTCTCAGGAAAAGTGAACCAGCTGTCACCGGTTACCGAAAACATTAAACCATCATGACAGGTTCTTGAACAGCTTGTTCAGGATGGTGTTCAACAGGTCGATCTCCTCCCAGGCCAATGGTGTGCCGAAGTAGCCATAGTTGCGATGCATGATAATATAAGGTTTGAAATTTCTGATTGTTCAGACTTTAAGTACTCTGGTTCCATTAGAGATAATGCTTTACACTGTTAAAAAAAGTAGGACTCGATGATAATGGAAATGCTGATATCACGTGTTTGGTCATGTCGCAACTAGAACAGATAACATTTTTGCTGGGAACGAGAATGTGCGAAAAGTCAGGGACGAAGAACCGTTTTGTTTGTGCACTTTACAATTTGTTGAATGGCACCTTAAATTATAACCAAAAAAGGGCCAAGGAAGTGCCAACGTTCTAAAGGCATAACTGTAGAATCGAGTTCAATAAACTTACACGGCTCGAGGTTTATCCGCAACTCCCTGAATACCAAGGGCGTTCAAACGTCTGTTGACGCGGTGCTGAACTTTCTCCGACTGCTGCAAAACGGTTGTCATGAGTTTAAGAATATCACGATTATTTTTTCCACCTGGATCTCGTTTAGCCATTCTTAAGCGTCGCTGTAATCTGATATCCATTGCTTCAACACTAGACACAGAAAAACCACAAGTTTGGTAGCATTAGTTGTCGACTGAGGGGGTTTTCTGTTTCCGATAGATTTGCTCCCTTACAATTTGAATGTGTCAATGAGTTCGTCAATGCTTTATTCAACGTTAAGGTGCTAGCGGTAATGACTCACCAGCTTCCGGTCTGTATTTCCTTTGCTCATTTACGACTGATACATAGTGAAGGTGCTGGTAAACTTGAATAACGTAATTTATATTAAATTGGTCAAGAATTTCACATTTTTGGTAAATTGTCAATGTCTCTTCGAATGGTCGGTGATCTTGATTTTCAATAAATGACATTCATAGGTTTGCTTTAAATTGACAAATGGTTGTTTCATCAATGAATGGATGACTAACTTTGATGAGAAGAATTCTAAAAAAATTGGTCAAACGTGGGGCTCTATGTGTACCATCAAAATGATTTATTTATGGTGATGTTGTTTTTGCCTACTTGAACCGATTTCATTGCCTTTGTTTTTAGCAGAACCAATCAAAAACTTACCGTGAAATCGGTAAAATAATTGACGAAACAATGCCAACTCAGTCCCTATTGAATTAAATAGGTTTTGTTTTGTTCGATTAGGTGGGTGCCTGCTCAACACCCTACCTAAGGTGGCTGGGGTCACACAAAGTGAGACAGATGAGTAAAATCAACCAGTCAGTCTCTAGGATGTTCAGAAGTACGGTAAATGCGACCACCTCCTTAAGCCAAAATTTCCAATGACTCAGTTCTTAGCTTAAAAAACGCTCTTATTTTGCTTGAGCATTACACGAACTTAAAGCACACCGAATTAGCTCGCTACGTTGAATTTAGACTAACAGCTTCGGTAATACTTTTATTTAATCAAAAGTGATATCGGAGGTTTAACTAGGTTACTGCGACTCGTCAACTTTCCGCCTAAAACATACCAACTTAAACATCCAAGGACTTGCGGATATGTCCACAATGGCAATGGCAGTCAATGCTTACTTCAAGTGTGCGACAAATGACACCAACAAGGCTGCAGTCATAATCAATTTCCACGAAGGTAATTTAGAACAACAATTTAAGACATAGGCACAAAAATAATCAAATATATTGCACAGACATAGTATACATACATGAAGGTGAAACGTTTCTCTTGAGGAATTTTCTGCGTGGCTTCGACAACATCGGATGGTAGAAGTGGCAGAAAGGTCTAGGAAGAAGAAAATAATTACCAACACGCTCGTGCCCCATTCAGTTAACGAAACTTTTTCTGCGTCCCTAGCACAATGTTAGAACATAATCATCTCAAACTGGACCTAAAGTTAACAGATGGCAAATGTTGGGTTCGGACGTCAGAAATTAATTACCCATAATCCTCTAAAATCAACAAGAGCCAATTATTTGCCTTTCGCAGTTAAAGAGCGTAATAAAATGAAGTAAGAATAATGGGAAATATGATCCCAAGCGATATGTTGACTTTGACATGCACGTTGCACTTTGTTGCGGTGTTTAACAATGCCTTGCAAAATTTATGCATAACTAAAGCACATGACCACCAAAAGGCCGGTATTCTGCTATTGACTGACATTTTTCCAATGAGTTATACTGCATACCTTTGCGATAATAACTGCCGAACGTTTACCACTTCCATGCATGCTCTTCGAGGACGTCCTAATCCTAGGCAGATAAAGTCTGTTGGAACCCACCGAATCTCGTAACCCGTAAGCCATCATCGCTGGTGATTGAAAGAGCTTTTTTAAATCAAGAGGCCTGAACCACCTTTGAGCGTTGCCTATGAGAGGCTTTCCAGATGGTCCCTTGCTTTTGAAAACATCTCTTAACATCATACTCCCTGATTTGAGCATTGCTAGACTGTCGTATAGCCTCTCTACATCATCATCTGAAAGTGCTATAGTTCCTATCTGGGCGAGTTTCTGTAGCAGCGTTGATACCTCTTTTGTAGTTTGTTCAAATAGTCGAGTTGACTTCTCGTCATCTAAATATTCAAGCATCAAGGAAGCTGTAGCCAACACCACATCCTGGAAGGTATTCATTAATTGAAACCCCGAAGTTTCATCATTCCAAAAGATTGAATTTTCGGTGTTTAGTTTCTCAAAGACTACATCTAGACTATCAAGCTTTGCACCTTTGTCTGCCAGAAAATCTAGAGTACCGCGAATGATGACGAGAGATTCTTGTCCCAGATCCGTGATGGCTTCCAAAACATTGGCGATGTGGTCTGTTACTTCAAAGGGACTAATGTGGACAGATGAGGCACGTAACAATTTTCTTGGTGGCCTTCGATAGTTTATATCAGCATTCTCATCTGTAAGAACTCTGTCTGTCAACTCACTGCTTGGAGTAGCCGTTGATGTGGAATAGGCCCAAGTACCAAAAGAACTTGTTAAAAGCACTGATCTCAAGTCCTCATTGGATTCTCGATGTCTTGAAGTTTTCCATTCCCCTACCAAGTCACTCATTGTGGAATCGGGTGTCTCAACTAAACTCTCTCCTGTAGGAGGTTCAAGATCTGATTCTTTTTGTGTGATCTCTGTAGAACCTTGTGAAGACGGTGTGATCGGGATGACTTTTCGTGGCTGTTTTGGTTTATCCACCACTGGTTGTTCCACAAGTGACGGTTTAGGGCTAACAGGGGGAAGTTTTGGTTGATAACGTGGTGCTGCAACCCATTCGCTGGAACTTGATGACTCTGACAAAGCTGGTATCACGCTGAGCGGAGTTTCGATGAGAGTGTGTGGGTCTGGTCCCGCGTCTACTAACTCAACCCAGTCAATGAGGTCATCCATTCGCTGAGCCTGATGCAGGCGTAGAATATTTGACGAATCATCTTCACTTTCTTTGTTTTCTTGAAGTCCCTTATCCATTTGAAGTGCCTTAACGATTAGCTGCGAAAGTCGGTCATGAGTGACGCCCATGAGACCCACTTTGAAAAGCCCGTTTACTATTTTTTCTATCGATTCTTTACTGTATTTGTGGGTCGCCTGAAGGACCCTAACCAACTCTGCCTTCTTTCTGATGTATAGTTTATCACTAACTGTCTTCATCTTAGGAAGGAATGTTTTCTTGATAATAGCATCAATTGATTTCTTGTACGCTTCTTGCTTGGTCTAAAATAATCACAAGACCATGTAGGTCATATGGCACAAAACTTGGTGTTGCGTATGTAAAACGGTGCACAAAACGTGCTTATTTAAGTAAATATTCTCGTTGGGTATTTCAAACTAAAGCTCAGTCTGAACTCGCTTTGGATTTGTGACTGCGTCTAAGTACCGAAAACTTAATTAGTCTCTGATGAGTTTTCAGGAGCCCCAATACCACACCAGTAAGAAAGTTTCTCAAGACCCCTAAGAGGGGTTAAAGAAAATAACTAATTATGAACAGTGTCCTAATTCATGTCAGACTGATGTTTTTAAATACACCGATATTTTGTTTAAAATTCAGTTATTTTAAGGGAGGTACCACCGTTTTTTTACACAAACTCAGATTTGTAGAGCACTTGGTATGACTTCAACCAGTTGACTTGATTAATAGTCGTGAGTTTTTGTAGAGACAAAAATTGTGCGCAATGTAAAATCTAATATCTCGGGTGCCTTATAACTTTCCACGGCAAACTGTCACAGTCAGATCATAATTATTCACGTCCCGTCTTTTCATTGCCAAATGAAACCAAGTAAAAGCACGACTAGCCCGTAGAATTTCTAACGAGTTAACTTCCGCACACAGCTACCCTCTTAAGCGCTGAATTCTTATTCGGCTAGGTTCGTTTTTTACTATTAAGTAGTCGAATTACTGGCTTCTGTTAATGCAAAAATATTAAAAGAGCCTAGAGTTGGTGTGAAGGTTGGCTTCGGCAGTTTAAAGGAATTGGGCCTCTTTGACAATGACAGTCTTTATCGGACCTCACTCGCTGGTTGTTAGCTCAGGCTTATTCCAATACCCTTCACAAAAATATCTGGTTTGCTGACTCTGGATTACGTCAGTAATAATTTGGGGATGAACTCAAACCCACCTCTTTGCTCTCCTCTATGATTAATTTCACTTCAACGGTTTTCTCTGAAGAATCAGTTGACAGAGGACTTAGGGATGAACTTTCGGGAACAAATAGATTTTCAGAGAGGTCACTGGCAGAGGGCTTCAGTAGAAGCCCCGTACCTTCCAACACGAAGTCATCCAGTGAGTGTACGACATTTGGTTTGATTTGAAGATCAGGAGGGGGCTTCTACAAGGAGATGTCTGTGAGAGTTTCGTGGAAACCAGCAGACAAGGAACTTTTAGTGCCGCTGGATCTCTACAACTGATGGGCGAATTATTCACAGTACTGAAGTTTAGTGAAACATCTCATGAAAGATTCTTGGTTCTAATCAGCTGTATGTATATTTGGCGTGTCCTCCAATATATCTTCAAGTGTTCTTTCCAAAAATTATAAATACTTCCTGGACATGAATATGGGCGTTGGTGGGACCACAGGTACAATTTCACAGAATTTTCCTGTGTAATTAAAGGCGCAGAACTTTCTAAACGAAAGTATGCCCACCGTAATAAAGTTTGCTCATGCAAGGTTACGTAAAATTACAAAAATAAGCTATAATATAATGTGGGAAAACAGACTGAATTAACAGAGTGTGCTGAATTTTCTACTCATTGCTGTGGGAATTCGGTAGCTTCGTCCGGAGGAGAATAATGGCGTCTCACAATAGCCATTTGGTGTTTGCTATCATTATAAGAATAAAGGAAACTTGCCGGTTGAGTATAAGTCGCTGCAGCTTTACGGGATTCTTCCTCCACCATGGTGGGGAGAAGAACCTTAAAAAATTGAAATCACGAATCTATTACGTTTGTTTTTTATCACTGCTACAAAAAAATAAACGTTTTAGTTTCGCTGTCTTCTTTATAATTTCACGCATTTCAGTCCCCAGCTTTGTCAGAAGTTCAAAAGTTACTTATTCAACCTCCCGCTGATTAACTGAATGGTAAAGTGGTGTTCAGGAAATTTAGGCTTATGTTGTTGAACGGATTGTTCAACCTAAGTGCATGGACGATAACTCATTCAAAGGTCGGTGTAGAAGAGCAAAAACAACTTGTTGGTTATGTTTAGTGACATCACCTGCGTCCCCACATTTCTATGATTTGTCAGCGTTATGAACAAACCCTTACTATTAAGCTACGGCGGCCTTCAGTACAAAAACCCGGAATAAATTAGCACCTTCAACGAAGATCACACAACAAATTCAACTCAAACATCGAAGTACCTTCGCTTCGCTTTTTTCCGGTAAGGTCTCTGCAATTGGCTCAGTAAGCAATGGCTGTATCTAAAGTTATTAATGTGGATTTAGGCCTCAGCCAAGTAATAATGCGATTGTAGGTTGCGGCTCACCGGTTTGCTTGTAATTGTGGCTTCACTGGACTAGAAAACAAAACAATGGAAGTTGAAATCCATCCAAATGAGTTCGAAAAGCTGTAGGAGGCATTTTATCCAATAACTATTGAAAGAAATCACTCAGTAAGGGGAAAGGTATTGGTTTTTATTCTTCCCGGGTAGAAATGACTTGATTTGGTTTATGAATTGTCACACAGCATTACGTCTGCTCATACCACTCCGAGGAATCAAATTTACTTAAAAGTCTGCAAGTTTTGACCTTCGTTCTTTGCCAAATTAACCTAATTCAAGATTGTAGCCTCTTAAAACAGACACTGGTTTTTTCCATTCAACACTATCGCGGTACATTGGATGTATCGTAAACTAGCTGTGACCTCGACTACAAATTTTAGATTATGTAACGGCTACGAAGTTGACATAATGGGGTGATTTCTTTCGCTTGTATCGGATATAAGTAGCATGAATGATTGCATAATCTTGTACACCAAAAGCAAAGCTAATTGCAATGATACAGCCACCTATTAAAGGCTAGAGAACTGGGTATGTATTACTTGATGATTAATAATGCAAGTAAAAGGTGAAGGTAAATTAAATGCATTCACAGACGTTTAGCATTCTACACGGAGACAGATTAAAAAAATGCACACCATAGCACGTGTGTTCAATTTTAAGCCATCAATCTCATGGGATTTTGACCGTGCGTAACGTACAGCCCACCCACTCTTAAAATTATTCCTACATTTTTCGAGTTGTAAATTTTTCAAAGCTATAATTTCGTTTCCACAGGGAATGCCAATCTAAGATCCTCGACTGTTTAGGCCAATATTTTTAAAGACCACGTCTTGACTACTGTCAACTCAGCAAACTGCAATACTATGCTTGTATCTAGGTGGCAGCATCGTCAGCACAAACAGTCCAATGACTCCAGTTACCTTGACGTTGAGTATAGAAAAATTTACTCATTTCATTAAGGTACTGAAAATACTTCAATAACAACAGGAAGTTGGATTTTCTAAGGTAACAAAAATCAAAAGTTGCTTGGGCTTCAGCATCCATAAAGCTATATTTTAAAGAAATTGGGCATTTTATATTTCTGATTAGTATTTCCTGCAAATGCACATCATTTTTGCGCCCAATTCGACCCACTTCTGACCAGTGGCCCACCCATTCTTGAATGTACTTTTATTCAGAATTGCAGTCAAGGCAGCCCACGCACCAGATAAGTGGGCGCGCTTGAGCGTGCAATCGGCCTGTGGCCTCGCCATTGGGTGGGTAGGCGGCAATCCACCCGTTTTTTCCCGCATTAGCGCGGGACAAGAGGTTTTCAATTATTTGCGCTCGGGTCTATGTGCCCCGGCAAGACGTAACACGATATGGGTGACTTGCCTACCACATTAACCGTCTTATTGAATAGAATTAGATGAGTACTACTGACCTCTGCTTTCCAAACCACTAAGGGGTCGAATAGGTCCGAGATTAAAATGAGAAAGAAACTCGAGCAAATAGCATTGAGGACTTACCAATCGACTTATGGGCTTAAGTGCCTACAACCCACATAAAACGATTAAAGAAAGTTTTGTAGGATAGAAAGCTTTAAATGTGAAAATCAACTTACCGCAATCGTGTCTCTGAGATTCATCCTGACCTAAATTCATCAATACTTTCGTATTTTTAAAGTATATACAGGTCATAATTGTAAGTATTTTACATCGAACACTCACCAGGCTCTCAGATGTGGTCCATTTCTTCCGGTGAACCTTAGAAGAGCAGCACGTTAACAGAGAACCCATGTAAGCTTACCTTGTAAGAACCAACCTAAAAACACCACCGTGTTATTAGGTGAATTGTTTAGCGTTTAGACATGTTAGTTTTGTTTTAAAAAATGTTACTTGTTCAATGTGAGATGACTGCATGCTTCTGGTAGGTTCACTCTGAAAAACAAGAGTTTTTTGTTAGTTCTGTTCTCAAGGATTGGACCGTTTTCATTCAACTATTGTTAAAACTAACTACCTCCTCATCTATGAACCTAAGTCCTTATTTATTTACTTACCTAATTGATTTGTCTTTGGCCCTTTGAGGCAATTAAATGATTCACACTATCTTATCTGTTTTATAATTCATTTTCACCACACAAGTCACCATCGTCTATCGCATTAAACTAAAGACGTTCCATTCCTCGTGCTTGCTACTAAATACTAATGGTGCTTGATGGGAGCACTTCCGAAAGGTATTTTTAATGCATCCGGTTTTCAATTCCACGTTTGTCAATCATTCAAACTCTAAATCACAGATGTATGAACAGTCTTCGAGGGAGGATTCGATGAATAAAATTCAGTCAATTAGTGGAGGGTAATGCCAGTAAATACATGCATGGATTTTGCATGACGGCATATCCTCAATTATCAACACTCCATATCTTTTCTTCTAATTGATCGAAACAGCAAAAAAAGTTGATGGGGTCTAACTTATCAACCCGCTTACCAGCGATTTAATACAACTTTGTGAACCTTATAAATCAGAACGGTACCAAGCACATGGAACATACAGGAACTTCTAAAAAAAATGCGTGCTCTTTGATTATCACACTACTGGGAATGCACATATTTAATTAATATTCCTTATTTAAGGCAGATATCAGGGATAACAACTTTACCGTTGGTTTAATAGATACTGATTCTGGGAGGCTGAATTCAATGCGCTCATTTTCAACGTCTGATAGAAATTTTACTTCCTCGGCAAGTTCCTTTTTTAGGTATTCAGCGTAGTATTTCAATTTTCCGTACGTTTCATGCACGGATTCTACAACACTAAAGATTAACCAAGTTGACGTAGTAAATCGCGTGTATTTCATTATCCCGATTAGGCACCTGTGTAAACAGGACCACTAGGTTAATGTGTAACTAATAAACCCTCAGTTTCATCGTGAAATAAGCTGTAAACGACAACCGCCATCACTCTCGGCAATGGTTACGCTTATGGTGAGACAAATGACTGTTCTCATTTTCTTTAAGTTTCTTTTGTTTTAACCTGGGTAATTTGTGCCAAAAGCTAGCAAAAACAGACGTTGACTAAATGGCCATTATGGGAGGAGGCTGGTAATAATGCTGACTTTGCCAACCGCATTCACATTTTAAATAGATGTTTACCAAAGACATGCTATTTGGGTCTGTGCCTCAAACGTTTTGCTCTCATTTGGATAGACGAGAACCAAGGTGTGTGCCTTTCATAGATATAAAATAATGTAATTTAGAGTTTTGAGTCACCAAACGGAACTACCAACTTTCTTCTGCGGGCAATTTAGTCGGCTTAATTGGGTTAAACGCCAGCATTTTTTGTTAAAGAAGCACGTACCCGGTCGATTTTAGTACAGAAAGTTCGTGCCATAGGTGTCTAGTAATTGTAGGTCCATCTAAAGTACTTTCATCTGTAAATGTGAATGTAGGCCTCTCGTCCAACTCCGCTGCGTTGTCTCCAAATAGCGAGCCGAGCCATAAGATCAATTTTACAAGCTGAAGCAAAATTTATTTTTGAAAAATTGTGTTAAATGCCTATTTCAGAAAATGAAACTTCAATTACTACCCCTGAGACTGCGTCAATAAAGTTTAAACACCCTAATTCTTCAGCACCATCTTCATTACTTGCAACTTCGTAGTATTCGGTTGTGGATTAAAATAAATGCATTTCCCGATGATCATAAAAAACGAAAACTTGGAAGTTTTTTTTTATCGGTAAGTCATAATGTACACTTAAACCATGTGACGATAAAACGTGAACGTTTGTCACGAAGCGGCATTCGACAGATTTCATGCCAGTAGAGAAGGAAAAACTATAGAAGCCACCCACATTGCTCCATGATCCACCCACTGTCAAATAAGCACTCAGGCTTCGCCAATGCCATCCCTCAATGAAAGATCTTCAAGTTTTTTTGTTTTTGGAAACCCCTGGATACTTGGATTCCACTATCATGAACTAACCACACTCAGATTTCATCGGCTGAGAAAAAAATCTATTTTTTACTTGTGCCCCAATGCAATAACTTTCATTGTTCCATTAAAAATAAATTAAGACCTACTGAATAGTAAAGACTTTTAGACAAAGAGGTAGCCTGTTCTTTGTCCTGTAATTAAAAGGAACACCGTTAATTTACATTTTTTTTTGGTAAAATTTACCGTGTTCTTATACATACCCAGTCTTTGGAACCGATAAGTTGTTTCACAGCTAAAAAATCGAAACCAGTTTGGATGTGTTAGCTAAGATTATTGACGCAATTAGAATAACCGATTGATGGAATAAGACATCACATCAAGCTATCATTTTTAAGGCCAATTGTTGTAATAAATTGTATGCTTTTATCAATCTAATTCCAGCATAACATCCATTTTGGTGACTCTGAACAACTTTACATTATAAAACCTATATAATGGGGCAACAGTGGGTTAAATGGAAGAGAATTTTACCTTGAAGCTCAACCAAAGCACTCCAACCCTCATCTACGTGTTCCATTAAAGCTGGTTCAATCTTTTGTCTGGAGATCTTATCGTGGTACACCTTCCTTATCTGCGATGTTAAAGATTCAAAGGCTGAATCCCCTTCAAGAAAATGTTTTTTTTCGAAGTTGACTGCACCAGCAAGTGAGGGGGTTAATAAACTATCATCACTGTCTTCCTCGAAGTCATCTAGGTCTAATCTGAAGCCAATTTTCAGCGCCGAAAATATTTCTATTTCTTTCTCAAAGAATTCCTGTTCCTCACTATCTTCAGACTCGTGGTACCTGACTGAAGGTTCTGAGGTGTAAGACGCTGCAAGTTGGTAGTTCCGAACTGCTCTTTGTCGGTATGGTCCTCGCCTTTGCTGGGTGCCTGTACGTTGCTTGCGTCTTTGGGCTACTTTTTTGGTCGCCCTTGCTGTGGGAACTTGTGCCTTAATGGGCATATAGATGCTTCGCAGACGATGACCTTGATTTACTTCTGGTGGCGGCGGAGGAACATTCAGTATTCCCTTGTATCCGGCTTCAATGAAGAAGTTTGTTTGCCTCAATATCTTCTGAAGCTCAGGTATGTGCTGACTGACGTTTATTTCCCTAGCCATTGAAAAGGCGAGTTTTGTGAGAATGATCCAAGTTTGAATTAGAGGTTTTGATGGGGAATTCTCGTTAGTTGCAAGACTTTCCTTTAATAGATCCTCTAGCTCTCCGGAGTGACTAGAAAGGAAAGCGTAGTGCATAATTCCATTCACAACTTTTCCATGAAGCCTCTGAAGAACTTTGGCAAGGAATGCTGCGAGGTTGGTGTCCAGTAAAGTTCGGAACCGGTAACACTCGTCTGGATCTCCTTTAGCTACATTCAAAAGTAGGTTAACGACTGCATCCTTTGAGAGACGATCCTCGATTATGCGGTTCACATGAAAACAGGTATCAGCAAAAACTTTGATAAATCGATTCATTTGAAAGGATAAGACCTCAGCTGACGTGCACTGGTTGCGAACTTCAAGGAGTATCGCCGAAGACATAATTATCACATGTTTGGAGGCCAAATGAGTGAAGTACTTGGCCAAAAACTCAGGCATTCCGCTTTCCTGGGTCACTTCCAGCATCACACAGGCCAGTTTTCTGTAAGTGGCAGGACTGGGCCGCAGAATAGGACGATTCTCTTCAGCCTCAATGGCCTTAAGAACTTCGGTAAACTGAGCTGACGATTCGCGCCCGTCTTTACGCCTATATCGGAAGGAGAAAATGACACGAAGTAGCAAAGTCAGTTTTGTTTATTTTTCTATGGTAACCCACAAAACAAAGGACTTTTAAATGGAAGTATCTGTGGATTTCTACACGGATTAGAAGTGAATTGATAGAGCACGTTTTTGTGTCCGTAACCGGTAAGCAAGACCCAAATGAAATTGTAGTGACATTTTAATTTCTAGCAAAACTATTCATTAATTTGACTTGATCTCCTCTAGCCTTAAGGAAAGTCAATTTGCCTAAAACAAAGTTAATATATTTCAGCAAGATGGGATAAAGCACCCAGAGGACAGGCAGTTTTGTGGCAATATTATAGAAAATTGTTTCGTGTTAATAGTAGTAAAAGGCAAAAATTCAGTGAACAAAAGTCTATGCATGAGATATTAAAAAAAACCAACTAATCAGCTGTAAGTGCGGCTTGCCCATGTCAGATACATAGTTTCCTGGGAACACCCCAAGTGGGAGTGACAATCGACATTAAATTCTTTTTTATTGCTTAATTAAGAGCGGTGCGTGTAATGTAGGGATGAATACAGCTTCTTGGACTTTCTGATTCCGAAAAATTGGAGTCGTTGGGGATTCTATCTGCACGTTTAATGATACAAAAATCAACTTTGCGTGCAACTCAATCACTGGGTCAGAAGACAAGTTATATTATACAAAGTTGTTCACATTAAAAAAATAGGCAATGGGAAAAAAAGGAAATAAGTTTCAATGGCTGCCAACATATCCAGCGTGGCAACCACTTTGTCAGCTTATATTCGTCCAAACGGGCCTTGATCCACCATTAAAGTCACCAACTTCAAACCATTTGCTACTTAAAGTGTCAATCCCAGTTATGCATCAAATATTACATTTTGTATTTCCGTAACCATGTAACTCATTAAGGTCTTGTCCATCCAAACATTAAGACGCACAAATTTTTACCTCAAGCGGACCTTTTACCCTCTTAAACGTGCTAAGGTTCATGCTACTGATTCACGTGGTTAGTTAAGAAATCATTTCTCCTTCATTCTTTGGATCCTCATAGCTGAGAAAACATTTTTCGGGTCCAGATTTAAATGAACGTATGGGACAAAGACGTTCACGGTGTTCTCCCTCTCTCCGAACAATCTTAGTGCAATGAACCAGTGATCGAGACCAGATGAAGCATTGGTGAACCCTTCTGGTGTAGTAGAGGGACCTAGCAACCAATTTATGTTTTGGATTTTAAAGCTAAAATGCTCGGCAAAAATTAGAATCAATTCATGCAGTTCGAAATTCGCGCATTAACACTCAAGATCATAAGGTAATCATTTGAATTATCTACTATTTTTAAATCGACTGAACTGGAAACTTACTTGAGCAGATTCTTATAGGACGACTGTTCGTACTGAATGTTGCCAATAGTTTGAAAATATTTATAATCAAATTCTTTAAGTGCTTTGTAAAACCTCAGGAAGGATTTCTCGCTCATTTTCGTTGGTACGGAGAGTAGAGGGTTGCGGTTTGGTTTATCACCGGGTTTCAGGGTTTCTACATACCGTCCGTTCGCCAGTTCAAGGAGATCTGCTTCGGACCAGTCATTTTTAAGTAGGAGATTAATATACCCTTCGACGTAATGGAAATTACAGGTTTTTGTGGTTAAACAGGCGCAAGCCGCTGAAATAGTTTCCTCAGCGCTCAACACAAACTTGAGAGTTGCCTTAAAATCGAAGCCGATTGCTTGAGCAATCTTGTAAATCGACCAGAGATTACCCAGAAGTGCGCGGTCAATGAAACGAAAAATTCGTTTGATTCCGCCGAAAATGTAAGCAAGGTATGGTAAAAGGGTACTAGGTTTTTTGAAGAAGTTAAGAAATTGCACAAATTGAGCGTGCGATCCGAGGATACTGGTTATTTTTTTGCGAGCGCTCTCATCTGGAGGGTCTCCGAATACCCTGTTCATGACATTGTAGAATTTTTGGTCAGACCCGAACTTTTCGGTCAACTTAATGGTCATTTCATTGAATTCATTATCAGATAGGCGTTTCACAGGTTTTTTAGTGGGTCGAATAGGTCGTCGGCTCATGCGTGCTTCTTCACGTGCTTTCTTTCGTTGGTTTTCATGTATTTGCTGTCTGGCGTAGGCAGTGAGTTCCTTGCGCAGCTTCAGCATTGCGAGCTTCCTGTTTATTCTGTAGGCACTCCGTTTTCGGGCCATGGTATTAACGTCTGCAGCAAATGTGAAAGGGACATTTGGTTAGTTACTTGAGAGCGACTTTGAACTTCGATTAACAACTAATCTTTATATCAGACCGATAGTGGTATTCATAATTTTTTGGGGTAGCTGAGAGCAGTTTGGTTTATTGGGACTCTCGCCTGTAAATTACCAACTCTTTAACCCAGTTTCTAAACATGCCTCTAATGGGCAAAAATAAAATCTGTATTTTACAAAATCTGCATTTATTTATTCAAAACCGATAGAGTAATTTTTGATTTGAAAGTTATGGTTATTGTTTTCTTCTAATGCTTGATAGACGTCACTTTTGGCTTGCCTTTGGAGAACATTGCGAACACTTCTATTTGTAGATGAAAGCTAAGGATCAATTATAGCATCGAGAGCGAGATGAGCATTTCCGAAAAAGTTTCACGTAAAAACATGGAAGCTCCTCAGGCTCACAAATTAACCTGTGAAGTGTACGATGTTAATTGCCTAAAAAGAATGCAACTGTCAGAATTGGTTAAAATAATTCCATGTTGAGATTTGTCGTAGAGTTAGGACTGGTGTTCTGGTCAGCCCATGTTGCGATGTTTAGTTGATAAGGAATTGAAGTATACAGAGTGTGGGTTCTTGTAACTTCACAAAAGTTAAAGGGGTCAGTATAAAAATGCTAAATGCGTAATTAAAATAGTTTTTGAGCACTCTATTATGCAATTGGAGTGGTATTTCACGCAGCCAGACGGAAACTCGTTAGTCATATTTTGATCACTACGCAGTTTTTACGAAAATATGTCTGGCCACAGAGACTTTATTCATTTTGGAGAACATGATTTCAGGCAGCACAATTTGAATTTACACTTTGGACTGCCAAGAGTCCTATTAATACGTGAGTTTGCAGGACTTAGTTGTTACTATTGACCATGGACTCGAGAAGCCATACTTTAAGACTACTGGCGACTGTCAGCATTGAATTTGTATCCGTCCTTTTAACAGGTAGGGAATAAGACTGCACAAACATCAAAGAACTAAATCCCCCAAAAGTAAGGGATTTGAATTGAACTCATATGTGGGAATGGACTTACGCCGAAGCTTGGCCGTTTCACCCTCAACGCGTTCCACGGCCTCTTCGAGAAGACGCGACATCTTCTTCGACTCGTAATAGCTGGCCATCTGCTTGAAACGCTTAGCCTCCTGTTTTATCTCGTCGGTAACCTTTTTAAGCTGGACTCCAATAACCAAAGACTTCTTGATGTGTTCAGGAAAAGGAGGGGGTGCGCTCAGTATACTGGTGTTCTAAAAATTTGAGAGGCTATTCATGAAAAATGTAAGAAGCAAAGTTTGTCATATCCTCGAGGCTACCTATTTAAATATTTTGGAGTGACTAATCCCATGCAGGTCGAGCTTACGTTGCTGTTACTCATAAAGAGAAATAATAAGTCAGAGGAAATATGTGTGACTAGACCAAAATAAGCTTTAATTATGCTTCATTTCGCTGCCAGTTTCAGCCTTTCGCCCTAGTCTTTTGCATTCAAGGAAGCACTTTTATCTGGTTTCATTACACCAAGTGACAGTCCTCCGGGTAAATAGTAAAAGCCGAAGCAAAATCCCTTCTATTTATTTGAGACAAATGCTCAGTTCTTCACTAAAATTTGCCCCCGGGGTTGAAGCAAACATCGCATAAATAATAAGTAACCCCGTTCCGTTCCAGATGCAAAAGGCGATCTTGCACTGAGTCGCAAAACAAAAAAATATGGACAATGAGGCTGCACAACATTGCCGTGTGTTTTCAAGAATCGTCTAAGCGAAGTTTCACTTAAGAAAAAAATCGACAAATTAAAATTTTTCGAAGTTATTTTTTAAGCAACTCAAAATGGAACTTTACAAGGGACTCGAATTCATCGTGATTTTGATGCCACTGAATGATAGGGTCGAGAGAAACTTCAGTGGGCCTTTACAAAAATGGCCCTGGATCCCACAAGGATTTAATCTACTCTCAAATGTCCCGGTTGTTTGGAAGATTCGCAGAATACTAACCTCATTAAACCCTTTAACTTCCTCACTTCCTTTTAGTTGAGTAGCCACACGCTGTTAAAATATTTAATCGAGCTTACAGATGACAGGTATCGAGGGAGTTTGTGTTTTTCCCTGAATACTTTAGAGAGACGAAGAGCGATACGCTGACGAACCACAGAATTTGGCAGGTAACCTGTTGAAAATAATTGAGAGACTTACTATGTTGCAAAGTCTGAAGTAATGTTAATATAACCAAAATGCAGACCTATGACAATAAAAAGCTTTGCCGCTTATCTGCTCATTCATATTATGCATGTATTTAGCATAAGTTTTAACTGTATGACAATGATTTTGCAATAAAATCATTGTCATTTGTAGTATAACGGTAACAAGCGTCATTTATGATATCAAATTTATTTACCTGTAACTGCAAGAATTACCCTTTACTGATAACCATCATGTGAGTTTCAGTCTTTCTCAGTTTTAATCCCTCAAAGGCTTATTTTACCACTTCGAAGGCGCTTAACATGAACTTCGCTTCAAGATTTTAGTGATACCACAAACCACTATGAGCCATTGAAGCTCTATAGCCCTAATTTTGTAAACTTAGCGGGATACCCTAAAACTGACAGTCACACGGCTGGACCATCACGGCCCAGACTCCGGGTCATCTTTGGATGCTGAGGACACTGGGGTAAGCAGATCCAACAGCGTACGGAATCAATCACCACATTGAAAATATAGTCAGCGCCACTAATTGTGGCCGTGCTCTCTGGTGTACAAAGCTGAAGGGTTAATTTGTGAAATCTCGTTCGCATGTTATGGTATTCACCAATCTTAACACTGAACTGATTCAGTTACCCCGATTTCAATGCTGTCAGCTCATCCGTACCGTGATGTTGGTTTTGCTCTAATGGACACCTCCAACATTTCCGAGCTTATTTTACTTCCAATAGTTTGATTTATTAAAGCAAAACGGGCAGGAGGTTATTCAAGAAAAATCACTTCCTTACCATCGGGAGCGATAATATTTTGAATGGTTGGCACATATTTAGCATTGTCTGCCTCCTCCCTCTTCAAGCGTTCCAGCGCATCTGCTTCCTGTACCAACAACCGAATCACCTCCTGTAGCATAGACCCGTCCTGGTTCTTGAATGCATATTTTTTACTGCTCCTGTGCTTGTAAGAGCGTGGCTGCATGCTAAAGACGACGCGTAGCAAGTAAGTACTTCCCCTATTCAAATTAGTTCTGCGTAAGCTAAAATCTTATTGATCGCTTCTGTGTTTGATTTAGCACGTCAGTTTAAGTGTGAGACTCAAGTATGAGTTACGAAATCAGACATAAATCCATTCATTAAGGCACCTAGACTGATAGTGAACCACAAAGACTGTAAGATGTTAAAGTGCACCCATGTATTATTTAATTAAAGGAGGAATTAGCGCTCCGAAAATTACTGAAACTACTTCGCCTCAAAGTTCATTATAAGCGTTTATCCGGCAAATTTCAAAACGAATAATTATCTGTTACTTGTGAATCTGAACCTTAGCCAAATAAGAAATCAAGTAATTTAATTTATTTGTACCAAAATAGAAATATGGGTTAATTTGTTAAAAAAAACTCTGCTTACTTGCTCCATCCGATCCAACAGGTCATAAAAACTCGCCCCACCTTGCCAATGCAATCAGGAAACCTGCACGGTCCAACGAGTGAGTACACACAGTTACCGCACTGAGTTCCAGTTATTACTGCTTAAATATCCACAATGGATTTATACCAGGAACTGGATCTTTGTATTCACGGTGGTTTCCTTAACTCCGGATCTGACGGTTCTTTAAGTATGTAGTGGATTGCTTCTCTATGTATTTAGCGAACGATTAGTTGCATATGCTAGGATAACCTGTACTTTATTTTGCACACATCAGGACTGCTTGACTTCATCGATATTTAACATGCTGTGCCAAGATATTGCGCATTTATGATTCCTTCTGAGGGCTCCATCTTTTAATACTAATAGTTGCTAGCTAACGGTAGACTTCTGAAGGCTATGTGGCTGTATTGGTGCCAAATACCAAAAATAGGAATTAAAATGCCTTAAAATGTTTAATAACAACTGAGGACTGACGTGAGTCGGGGTATATGTGAAGCGTATTCAAAAAAACTATCTTGTAGGATAAGGAGATTCACATGAGTCAACTGCCCGAAGATCCATTTGGCACATCCCGTAGTCAAATTTTACCTGCTGCTGTTTTTTTGCCTAATTGCATTAACATAGGGTATTAGTTTTGTTTTTGGTGCTAATTAAAAAAAGTAATTTGCCTTATTCCTCATAGTTTTAATATGTATAGCTTTATGCTAAAGCCCAGTCTACCGACCGCGACCTGTGTTAGCAGTTTAGCTGATGCAGTAAGGTCAGCCATGTGCCCTATTGTATCATTATGACAAACGAAACGTTCGAGCCATAGCTACAAACACAAGAATAACACCTACGTGACTGCATACAAAACGAAACGAACTGAGTATCTGCATAATAGAGGTGGTCATTATCTGACTCATTTTCACCAGAATGCGTATCGTAACAAATGTTTTACCTTCGACTACTTTTAGCTCCCGCTTACTTTTCAAAAAGCTAATATGTGCTTACAGAATTTTACGATACTAAACAGAAACATTTGAATATCAGGCTATGAATTTAAGCCAGCTGATGATTTGTAACACTATTGTCATCCTTATCTACAACATAATCAAGCAAAAAATCTTTAAAAAATTGCAACCATATTTTAATAAGATTTCGCTCGATTTGAAACGGTATTACATCTTTTCCAAGATTTTAGTGGTGTATGAAGCTTCACCAGCAACCAATCGAGAGCATGTTTGAACGACTCATCAATTTCATTGGTTAAATCTAAGCAACTAGGTCCCTCCATAAAGCATAAAATGGAAACAGTTGCAGTTAACGCTTAGCTTAAGATACAAAATGCCGAGTAAGTAAGGCTGTCAACTATGGCAGGTTTTTCTGTGTTCTGATTTTCATGGTTCTTGATTCGCGCAATATTAATTCTCCTTTTTTTTCGGTTGTAGAAAACAGTGGTTGCAATTGTTGTGAAGCCTGTTCAAAGGGCGAGAAGTGTAATTGCAGCGGATGCAGCTGTTGCAATAAGTAGATCTCATGCAAAATAGAGTACTTTCCTCGTATTGCCTTGTTGCTTGATTCTGTTAATAAATGCTTTAACCTACAAATGTGACAACTTTAGAGGTCTGAGGGATTCGGGATCTGTTTGATAGGAAAATATTGTTGTCCTGTTAGAAAAAAGCTTTGTGAATACGCTTTTTAAGTAATTTATGATGTGGAGGGAACTCAAGGATAAAATTTTGCGTGAATATCAACCCAAAACTCTAGGATTTCGCATGATTTGATTGATTAGGAGGTGGATTTAGACTCTCGGAAAGATACTTTTAGCACCTGATACTGGCAGCGATGGATGACGACCTTTGTTTGCCGTAGCAATAAACCTCACGAAATAGATTCAAGCGATTTATTTTGAATTACTCTAACATCTTAATATTTCGTTAAAAATCGTACCTTGGATTCAATCGGAAAAATAACGTTGATGTCACGTTCCTCAAGAAAAGTAGTTTTAAAACAGGGTTCATGCTACACAGTTAAAAACCATAGTGAATTCACCAATTTTATTCGCATTTTCAGCAACTACTGTAAGTGCATCTGTGTGACAATTTGAGAAGTCTTTGACAAATAGATCCCTGGCTAGAATTTCAGATATTGTACGACATCAACTTCAGTACAAATTGCTCTTTAAATTAAAGGCTCTATCACAGGCGGCCTGCCCTTGCGTCACCTATTTTCTACGTTTATTTAGCAGTGCCGTGTTTTGTTTGAATTCATTTGTAGCCCTTGACAGCCTGTTACCGAGTTAATAACCTGTATTTTAAAAAAAATTGATTTGGCAGTATTGATGTGCCCCTCTTGTCTATCCTCTTCTTTTAGCATTATTTCTCGATGAGAATACATGCCGGTTTGCTAGTCTTCGCATTTTTCACGTACGCACTTCTATAGTAAATCGTGTTGATCCACGTTCATTGATTTGGTCGTCGTGAATTCAGACTCGCCATTCCCCCTTTTTCATCACGGCGTCCTTATCGATCATGCGAAACTGTCTGCTAACGCACCCCCTGTGCGTGTGACCCCCTCTCCCATTCGCTACATCTGCCATTCAGCCGCCTGTACAATACAACTCCTGCTAGTCAAACACGAACTTTTATACAAAGTGGTGCGACGCACAAAATCTGTTTGAGACATCGAATAAACAGTCGAGTCTAGTTTATTTCTTTTGCAGCTTCGTGTTGCGTCTTGTCATATTTCCTTGTTTTGCTTAACTTTACTCGAAAGCCTGTCGAATTAATCTCTTTTAAATTAAATTGAATTGTTGTGATTTTTTCCTATCCCCTCCTTTCTGAAAGGTTTTTTCCCTTTTACTTGGCTTTTATGAAGCCGCGGCTCAAAGTTAAGTTGGCTTTTAAGTCCAACGCAGTGTTACAACACTACATTTGCTCAGCAACCAGCGACTCTGGTAGGTACTATCTTCAAAGTAGTAAATGGAAAATGAGTTGCCAGCATGGGATCAGTGATTGCGTTTCATTTCCCACGTTAACTAAAAAAGCAAGCTTTCTTAGGTTACATGATAAATTGCTTTTCCTTGGTTTTGAAAACTGATCTGAGTTTATTTTCCAAATATGGTGAGTGATATTCGTTAGCGAAAAGATAGAGCTTTGTAATTGGCTCAACTTTGACTACGGATGAGATTTTAGAAAAATTGAGTGCTATTGGCTACATTTTAGGCCTAACTTGAGCACAATTAGGGATTCCGGGAGTTTTTTCGCCAAGGTTTCGAGGTGGTACGTGTGCGATATTTTGGCGAGGCACAAAAAAACTGGACTAGTCTTGCAGCAGTCCGCTTGATTCCCTACCAGGTCTTCACAAAAGATCATTCTGATTATTTACTGTTGTATTTGAGCGATTTTTAGAACTCTCAGGACCTCAGAACATGCAGATGCGTTCTGTGAATTTATAAGCCTTTTTACCAATTATCCGAAGGGGTCTGGTATAAAAGGAAAGCTTAATGAACGAAGTGCGAAAAAGGGATTTTAGGCTATGGTTTGGAACTAGTATTAAGCCACTCAACTAGACGAGGGCACATTTGAATTGTGGTGTGGAATTGTTTTAACAGAACGTGTCGGTTGGCAAAACAGGATTTGATATACTAAATCAACAAAAAATGACCGTTTACCTCGTTGTAAGCTAATAAACGACTGGAAAGTACTTCGCGTGGCTTTAAATCAACGTATTGAAGCAGTGGTTGTGGAAACTATGAGGCCCTCTGATTGGACACAAACAAATTTCGCGGATGAAAATGTTTGATTGAAACCAAATCCTTTCTGCAGTTATGCGATTATTTACGTGGTAACCGTCAAATTCCTAAAACAATTCTTATCAGACGTAGTCCAACGAATGCTATCTACGGTCAGTGCCAATCATGATTAAACCTTCCATCTAACATCCCGTAGGCAATTACAACATAAACGAATGCACAAATTTTGGTAGCCAATAATTACTGGTGTTCAATCAGTTAATCTAAAACTCAACGATAACTATAATTGATGGGATTTTAGGAATTTATATAATTATGTGGCACTGCACTGTAGTGCTCTAAGGATTAATAAAAAGTAAATGCTTTAGATAAAATTATTGCTCAAATCAAAATCGACAGATGCATGGATTACTAGAAGATATGAGGTCAGAAATTAAACCGGAAAAAGCAGAATGCAGTCAAATACACATTTTACTCTTCAAATTGACATCAGCATGACGAGTCATCACCATCAGGTGTGACAACTCATTTGATTACGTCCAGTGTGCTTTCCATAGGACCTGTGCCCTTGGAATGTGCAGCAAATTGAGTCCAAATTATGTAAGCTAAGATTCGAGAAGTTGGTAATGCTAAACACTAACTTACAATGAGACACTGGTTTTTCGCAAAAACTTTTATTTCAAACATGATCTGTGGTGGCTTGAAAGCAGTACATTCTTCTCTAACCTGAGATCCACTTGTTCAGGCGATCAAGTAACTCATGGCGAAGCTTTTGTTTCTACTATCTGGTTTAGTACACTCACCTACGCTGTGTC